CACGACGACTAGCCCCTGAAAAGCTAAGGTTAGCGAAAAACGAGTTCGATCACATGATGGACTGAGGAATCATACAACCGTCAAACAGCCCATATGCATCTCCGTTGCACATAGTCCTTAAAAAGAACAGCAACGATTGGCGTCCAACCGGCGACTATCGGCGATTGAATGCAAAAACCATTCCCGATCGTTACCCGTTGCCTCACATTCACGATTTGACAGCTACCTTGAAAAGTACAACTGTTTTTTCGAAAATCGACTTGGTTAAGGCGTATAACCAAATCCCAATGGCTACTGACGACATTCCGAAAACCGCGATCATTACTCCCTTCGAACTCTATGAATTTTTGCGAATGCCGTTCGGTCTAAGAAACGCTGCTCAAACATTTCAAAGATTCATAGACGACGTTTTTCGAGGTCTCAACTTCGTACATGCGTATGTTGATGACCGTCTAATCGCAAGTTCGGACAGAGAATCAAATCTCAAGCATCTGGATCTTGTTTTCGATCGACTACAAAAACATGGCATTACTGTAAACGTTCAGAAATGCCAATTCGGAACCGACTCATTAGACTTCCTAGGACACACTATAGATGCGCAAGGCATTCGACCCCTTAGAACCAAAGTGACGGCCACTCTGGATTACCCAGAACCGACCACAAACACGCAACTGCGCATGTTTAACGACTTTGTAATTTTTTATGGACGGTTCATAAGAAACTGTGCGTCACTTATGAAACCTCTAACCTACCGATTTCGTGGAAATGCGAAATCCATCAATTTGGATGATACCGCGAGAAAAGCATTCTCCACAATTAAGGAACTCATCACTAAAGCAGCAATGCTTGCACATCAGGACACTCGAGCACCCTTTAGTATCGCAGTAGATGCATCCGACTCAGCAATCGGAGGAGTCTTACAACAATGGGTTCACAACTTTTGGCAACCATTGGCATTTTTCTCTAGACGGTTGCTAGTCACCGAATCGAGGTACAGCACTTTTGGTAGGGAACTAACTATGTATTGTGCTGTACGACATTTTCAACACTACATCGAAGTTCGTGAATCCACTCTTTTCACTGACCATAAACCACTCACTTTCTCTCTAAGCTTTACTTTAGACAAGTACCCTTCTCGTGAGCCTCGACAATTGAACTACATTTCGCAGTTTACTTTAGACATTCAACACATCTCTGGGGCAAACAATGTAGTTGCAGACGCCTTATCTCGCATAACTTCCTTGAACAGTTTCCAAGGCACCTTCTTAAACTCGCCCAGCTTCAAAAAGACGACACTGATCTTCAACATGAGTTATCGTCTAAAACCCTTTAACTACGCATCAAAAACATGAGAACAGGTAAGGAAACCTTACTTCGTGACACATCCTCAGGTAGGGATCGCCCAATCGTGCCGAAACGTTATCGACGCAATGTCTCCAACACATTGCACAAACTTTCTCATCCAGGTGTTCGTGCAACCCCGAAGCTTATAGCAGAACGGTTTTGCTGGCCAGGTATGAATAAAGACGTGAGGGAGTGGGCACGCTCCTGTGTAAGCTGTTAAAAATCTAAGGTCATCAGACACAATAAATGTGCCTTAGGCTCATTTAAAACTCCCGATGCTCGTTTCGACCATGTTCATCTGGATTTGGTAGGACCTTTACCAGATTCAAATGGATACTCTTACCTCTTAACCTGCGTAGACCATTTCATTCGATGGCCAGAAGCAGTACCTATCAAGGACATCACTGCTGAAACAGTGGCTCGCACCTTCGTCGAGCGATGGGTCGCATACTTCGGTTGCCCTTCAACCATCACTACAGATCGCGGACGTCAGTTTGAATCTGAACGTTTCCGTCATCGGACTACACTATTGAGAAGCACTCGCTTCCGAACAACCACCTACCATTCACAATCAAACAAGTTGGTAGAACGCTTTAACCGACAACTAAAAGCTTCACTATCAGCTGTGAACGTTTCACAGTGGACCGACGCTCTTCCACTCGTCTTACTAGGTATCCGCACTGCAGTGAAAGCTGACATTGGATACACTGCGGCTCAACTCGTTTATGGAACGACACTTCGACTTTCAGGAGAGTTCGTGGATCCTTCATCCTCTTCAATGAGCATGGATCTAACCTCCTACACGGACAGGCTTACAAACGCAATGCGTTCAGTTAAACCTGCTTCCACACGACTACAACCAACCGATGTTTTTCGTTCAACCTGACTTACAATATAGTACACACGTCTTCGTTCGTCAAGACTCACATCGACGACCATTCAAATCGGCATACGAAGGACCTTTCAAAGTTCTTCAACGTGAATCTAAGTACTATATAGTCGATAAGAACGGAACAAACGATAGCATCAGCATCGATCGTTTAAAAGCAGCGTATTTAGAAGGAAATCCTATTCACATAGACTTTCCTTCGGTGCAATCGCACAACACGACTCCTATGCTCATAGTTCCTCAACCAACAACCAACACTAGCGATGACACTCCAAATGTGTCTGAAAATAAACTTAAAACGACACTTTCTGGAAGAAGAGTAAGATTTCCAGAACATTTAAACGACTACTGCACGTGAGGCACTACTCGACATTTTTTTATTATCTCGATCTTTCTTTTTGCAGTATATAATATTTTTAATAAAAAAAGAACAATTTTAATCTGCTTTTATATTTATATTATTATTTTTAAAAAATTTTGACGCTATTACGTGTGCTGGAGTTTATTTTCCATTGTACGTTTTCTTTTTTTACTATGTTGTACCTCGGTCCCATATATTAAGGAAAGACGACCAGACGCTGCTAAACTTAGTAAGCTATCAGAAGTGTGTTTACCATCGACGGACTCGTTGGGTTAAAACTTCTGGCTGGCCACGTCTCAGGGTCATCACTACCCCACTAGGGGAGAGTGATCTGTAGCGGTAAATAAATCCCCGAAATAAATAGCTCTGTAAGTTTTCGACATTGGATGCTGACCATATGTTTTAGTGGACTCATCTAGCTGAAGGCGCTCGGTCATGCATCCGCACCAGATCACGTGTGGTAACGCTGTGCTAAACATCTATCGCAATCGCTAGCCAGATTAGATCAGAGAATTGGCAATCGCCAAATACACTCTTCCGATCTCCTCGACTCTGTCTTTTGATTTCTCTCGGTGGGTACAATTTATATTAGAAGGTGCTGCTGGTAAAAGCGTCGACAAACACTGAATACCTATATCATCTTCAATAGAATTTTCAGCACAAAATATTTCAGCCAGATCCTGTTTCTTATTTCTTGATGGATATTGACAATATATACTGAGTGGTCGCTAGTTAGATATTAGCATTTCAGAAGTCGAAATCTGAATAATATCTGTTCTTTTCAGTGCATATTGCCAGCCATCACGATGTCTCCGATTATACGTTATTGTAACTTGTACAGTAAAAGGTCTCGAACTTTCCACAAACGCATGTCATTAATTTAGGTAATAAACTGACATAATAATCTGTTAAAACAAACAAGGAAATCTTTAACTTGTTGAAATATCTAGATGGCAGGAACAGGTAGCTCAGTTATATAGGAAGGCCTCCTTAGATGGAGAAAACATGTGTTTAGCCAGGGGGAAAAGAACCAAACTGTGGAAATACTGGTTCACAAAAAGCTTTTAAAAAACGGTTGAGTTAGTGAACATTTCATGGTGTAGATCACTAAGAACTTGTATCAAATGGTTGAGAGCCTAGTCTACTTAGACCCACCAGCTAACGTCGAAGTGATTACTATTCCTAATCTATTTACCCATGTTTATTTGACCTTCTATTTCCAACGTTAAACTATTGATAAGAGTTTTGTTATTGTATTTTATTATTCTCACTATTATCAGTTCACATGTCTTCCTACTATCAACTTGTACTTTTACCTAGAGACTTATTTTATTTCATTGTGATTATTGACTCATATTGCCTTGATTGGTTTAACATTTTCGTATAAATATTCATGTATATTAGAGTAAAGCCTGATGACGATCTAATTGAAAACAATTGTTCGCTTATATGTGTTGTTCTAACGTCGAAGTCACACCTCACGATTAGTATCTAACGTGGATCACTCATTCGTCATATCCAGGTACCGTGGGAATTTTGATAACCATACAGCACAGATGACGTTACTACAAAAGTATATTAGTAAGAGTGTATCCAAGAAACAGGTGACCAACACCACCTGGGCCAGTCCATGACATGCAATCAACTGATGCGCGTTAGTTGTCCTTCATTTCGATGAGGATCGGTGAACTATCCGATATTCAGTGACTTGACTGAAGGATGATTCGTTTAGGACTCAGTGACATTTCACTAGTTCTGCAATGGCATCAGCTGCACGTACGTCGTAACAACAGTGATGTGACATCATGACCATTTTTAAACCAATGTACAAATTTATGATACGTTCCGACCAAAAACCAACGGAATTTTTATCGAAATAATCACCTCAATATGTGAAAAATTAAAATAGCTCGATTACTTCTACACGTTAAAAACATCACAACAGAAGTGTTTGGCGACACAGAGTGTCAATCAAATTATTCGAGAAAATTCAAGTCTGAGCTCAGTGAATAGGCTCTTGATCTGGAAAGTATAAAACACAAAGCACCTATTAAGAAAAAAATAGTGTACTTGGCCTTCTTGATAATGGGCAATTAAACAGACATTATTTAGAGGGATAAATTAGGAGCGAATGTCATCATAATGAAGACTTAAAAATCAGTGTTACAGATCGTTTTTGGTGTCGTATATATGATTCACCAAGAGGAAAGATTGGAGTGTAGCGGGTTGAGTCATGTGCTTGTAGCGCATCGTGTTGGTCGTCCACTCACCTTTTCTTTTGTTTATCTCCTTTCCTGTCCTCACGCTTGCTAATCCGCATGTTCACCTGGCTAGACGTGGCCGATACACTGAGCTACCTTGAAGACTTCGACCTTCACAAGTGTGGCATATTTAGACACCTACCTAATGTCTGCCGATGAATGGATTTCCGCTAAATCCCTGGCGAAAGTACATTTTGAAGCCTTACTAACCATCATCTAAACTCTTTTTTTTAGTATACATACCCACAGATCGTTCGTAGAGATGTCACTTGTGCCCTGAAAGCGTTTAAGGAATTACGTCCCAAGTTCGAAGATTTCAGTAAGTTTAAATATTAATTAATGTACTATGTAGTCCAAAACGATGGAACTTCCCGGAGACTCGTGAGCTTAGACGGCACTATTCCTGTCAGGTATATGGGTTCAACTTACAATATCCCGATTGCAATATTTCTGTTCGAAGCTTATCCACACAAGTCTCCTATGGTTTATGTGAGGCCCACAAATACTATGCAGATAAAGCCGAGTGATTTTGTTGACAGTGCTGGCCTTGTTCAACTGCCTTACATGACAGACTGGAAACATGTGAGTCTTTATAAGCAGTTGTAATAACATATATCTAAGTTTCCCGTATCTACAGATTCTACATCAGTTTCAGTTTGGGAAGGACAGGAGGCCTGATGGCCTGTGTTAGTCCTAGCAATGGTGGTCCCTCAGTTGATCATACTTTCCTCTGAAAGAATCGACGGATGAAGCCTCAACCACGTGCTGAGGTAATGAGTTCCACTCGATGATTCGATGGGAAAGTAGATAGTCAGCTGACAAGTAATTTGTTCTTGGCTTGTGAACTTTTTTGGAGTGTCCTCGTAAATTCTCTGTTTTGGAAGACAAGAAAAATGAGGGTATATCAGGTGCAAATTTGGCACTAAGCAATTTGAAAACTGTAATCAAGTCGCCTCTAGTTCTGCGATATGACAACGGGAAAAGGTTCAGCTTGGCCAGTCGAGCTTTATACGGAAGCTTCGCTATTCCGGGAATCAGCTTAGTTGTCGTTCTCTGAACTTTTTCCAGAAGGTCACTGCCTTTTTTTAAGTAGGGGCTGGCCGCTTGTATGCAGTACTCAAGTTTAGGACTTACGAACACTGTATACAAAGTCAAAAACGTTTTAGCGTCGACATGACTAAAAGCTTTACGTATTGACCATAACGTTCTAAAACCTTTGGTGGCTATTGCACGGCAGTGTGCAGTAGTCTTTAAGTCTTGGCTAACGATGACTCATAAGTCATTATATGTCCGGACGACAGGTAGCTGAGTGTTATTCATCGTGTATGTATCTGTACCTTGATGACCGATATGCATCACAACACACTTGGAAGTATTTATCGGCAACTGCCAGGTTTGAAACCATTCAGATAATTTCTTCAGGTCATTTTGAAGTTCTAAGCTATCACCCTCACACCGTATCGTTCTCCATATCTTGACATCGTCAGCATATAGAAAGACCGATGATGATATGAGACGACGAAGGTCATTTACATACAAGAGGAATAGCACTGGCCTCAAAACTGTACCCTGGGGCACTCCACTAAGCACAGTTCTCCAGCTAGATAACTTTGAGTTCACCCTTACTCTTTGTTGACGCCCAACTAAGAAGTCTTTTATCCACATAAATAGATTGCCTTCAATCCTGACATTTCTTAATTTATATAACAGCCGGTTGTGCGGAACCTTGTCGACCTAATATTTTATTAGTTTCGTTAAATTACTTGTTATACCAATTATAAGCCATAGGCCGCACTGAGAATACCAAAGGAGCATGGCTGTGGAGCTCCACAGTCAGTCAGTAACAACGTAAAACTTCGTACGTACGTCAGTTCGAGTTGCCACACTACATTAGCACAGAGACGTAGTGGTCGATTCAAATCCCGCAGTAGTAGACGTGTTTGAAGATGTTACTTAAAGAGTAGAATACAGTAAAACAAACTTGGGGAGAGAAAAAAAAGTGACAAGGGGAAATCAGTAGATCAAAATTTGAGAGAACACAAAGAATGAATGCACCACCGCCATTGCAAACGATTTTGAGCCATGTCATTCAGGGTCTCTAACCATCGGTTGCTATCATCTCGCGGTCCCTAACCAGGTAGTCTACACCTACCGACATGACTCAGTCCACTTGTCAGTGACTTCATGGACTTGTGCCATGTTTTGGTCTGGCCGCCCCTAGCTTTCTTCCAACCTACTCCTATACCACTGAACATCTCACGTCCAGGCAGTCGGTCGTTGGGAATACGTAACACGTGTCCCAGACATCTCAACTGATGAAGTTTCACCACTTCATCAATTGATTTGCCATCCTTACCTAGTACCCGTTTCCTAACAACTGCATTACTTACTCGATGGTCCCATGATATACGAGCAATGTTTCGAAGACACCTATGATCAAATACTAGTAGTCTACGAATATCCTCTACTCTTACCGGCCATGTTTCACTGCCATAAAGTAGAACGGGACGAACTGCTGCGCAGTAAACCCGTCTTTTGGTTGATAGACGGATATCTCGCCTACGCCATAAATGACGCAAGTTGGCAAAAGCTAGTCGAGCCTTCTGTATCCGTGCTGAGATTTCGTCACACACCAGACCACAAGGGCTGATGAGACTTCCAAGATAAGTGAAGCGATCGACACGCTCAATTACTTCACTCCCTATCATTAGTTCGGGTGTCGATGCAACCCAATCCTGAAGCAACATTTTGCATTTCGAGGGAGAGAATCGCATCCCGAACATGCTTGCATTGTTGCTTAGAGTGGTCAAAAGACTCTGCATTTTGTCAGCGTCTTCACCAAATAAAACTATATCATCGGCATATTCTAAGTCAACAAGTGAACCTCCCGGTAGAAGTTCAACCCCTGGAAATTTAGATTAGGAAAGTGTCATCTCTAAAAGTACGTCGACCACAAAGTTGAACAAGAATGGAGAGAGTGGACAGCCCTGACTAACACCACTTGAGGTAATCAATTCTGATGACAGTTCGCCATAAGCTCTCACTCTACCAGTTGTGTTCGAGTAGAGAGCCTGAATAAGGTTAATGTACTTCTTTGGTACTCCTTTCAGTGACAAACACTGCCATAGAACCTTACGATCAGAGTCGAATGCCGCCTTAAGGTCGAGAAATACTACCATTGTGGTGCGTCTAAACGTGTGTCTGTGTTCTAGAACCTGACGTAGTGTGAATATCTGGCCTATACAACCACGTCCAGGTCGAAAACCAGCCTGATTTTCTCTAGTCTGTTCTCCACGAGCTTTGGTTAGGCGTCGAAGTATTATTAAAGCTAATATTTTAGACACTATATTAGTCAAACTGATTCCTCTGTGATTGTCACAAGAGGACTTTTGTCCTTTCTTATAGACTGGCACAATCAGTGATTGAGACCAGTCAGATGGGATTACGTCCAGTTCCCAAATTCTACCTAAGACCTCAGTTAATCTCACTGCTAATACTGAACCACCATCCTTAAAAATCTCAGGAGTAAATCTGTCAGGGCCTGCTGCTCTCCCTCGTTTCAGATTTCCTATGGCTTTTCCAACTTCGTAAAGAGACGGAGGACCTACATTAACTTGCCATTCAGGTTGACTGGGGATCGTGGGAAACCGAAGTGTGGCTGAAGGCCAGTTGAACTGATCCCTGAAGTGTTCTGCCCATCGATCCAATCTCCTGGATTGGGAATGAATAATATATCCATCTTTCTCTGAGAGTGTTTCGCTAACAGTCGGTTTCCTAATACCGGTTTCCTTAACAAGTCTGAACAATTGTCTGCTATTACCTATTGCCGCTGCCTTCTCCATCTCTCTTGCTTTCGCTACCCACCACTGTTCTCGGTCGTTGCGTAGACTTCTTGTCAGCTTGCGCTTAAGCTGACTCCGGTCTCCACTATGTTCAGAGCCAGGTGGAATGAGTTTCCGAGCATCTATCAGTGCGATAGATGCTGCTGAGATCCAGTGTCGTTCCCTAAGCTTACGGGTTACCGTACTAGCAGATATCACTGCTGTTTCCACAGCTTTACGGATATCATTCCATGCTGCCTCGAGGTGGGCATCACATACATGGCTGTCTAAGTGTTTTCCTAGTTGTTCCTGAAATATACTCTTAGCTTGACTATCATTAAGTAGGGCCCTAAGAGGTTTACTTGCAGCGTTTTTCCTACGTCCAGTAAGACACAGACAGATACGCGCTCGTACTAGAGGATGATCTGGATCTATGGATGTGGAGCTCCACATGTTGATGTTCATTTTTGTGAGGTCGTATCTTGGCTATCCAAATCCCAACTTTTTGTCTGGTTTTGCCTTAGGTGATGTATCATTTTTAGAAAATGCAGATTTTCCATGAACTATCAGTTCATCGGAAATAAAAACCTCAACTCACGGTCGTTTAGACTGTGTTGTTTCACTCGAATGAAATAGTTAAGTAATAAGTTTGTCTCTATTCTGTATGAATTAAAATATTAGTTCCTTAGACTTAACTATCTAAACACAACAGTCTCACCCTAATTTTGATGGGAAATTTATATGGCTGAATGTACTCCGGACAGCTTTAATGTACTTTTCATTTCCTGATACTGGCTTGTCTTTAAAAATAATCTCTTGAATCCCTTGAAAATAACCAGAAAACATACTTTGGTCATTATTCTTTCAGTGTTATTTGTGAAATATCATACTACCAGAAACAAGGGTATCTCGTCCCGTAGATTTATGTCAATATTTAGAACCTATATAAAACTTCGTATTAAATTTGTGCAATTAGCTTTTCGGTCTTTCAATTTAGTAGCCGCTTCGCGTGTATGGTTGTGCGAAAACAAAAATATATCTAATGGAAACTTTGGTGTGTACAACTAAACATTTTTTTGTTCGATGGATCTAAAACAAAAGGGGTAGATCCAGTACACATACCAATGTGCTTGTATCATTAGTTGTTTTGTATTTGTTAATTTCGAGTGGTTACTTTCAGGCTTACTTTTATAAACTGACTTAATTACAGTAGCTAATAACTCCAGCTGCTGAACTGGAACATTTTTTAAGTCAACCAACTGTGTAAAAATAACACAGAACTTAAGAAAAAGCTTGGATTGATCCGAGCTGCTACACTTTAAATTAACATAATAACCGAACTAACAACTGGAGAATAAATGGAGGAAAAAGTGTCACCCTATTATTATGATTATAGTAATACTAAGTAAGAAATACAGCCCGGAATAAATGAGGAAAATAAGGAATGAAAAACTGAAGCAATATTGCTTTAACCTCATAGGAAGTCGTATGATCTATCTTATAATTCAGTTACTAATAAATGCTACTGGTGCTTGACCAACCCAACGATATAGTGAAATAAGATAGATTGAGTAAAAAATAAAGTCCTACCCGAATTTCCTGTTAGTAAGATAGAAATAAATGCATTCAATAAGTCACGAGGCACTCCAACTAGTCTTTCGAACGTTCTATAAAAATATTGAAGTACATTTTATAACTTCCAAATGCAAGATAATAATCTAGGACTGGTCAATTCTGGTACTCACTGTAACTACAGAAAAGCAACTTATCTATTATTTCTCTTACCTAGGTTTTGTATCAGTTTTTGCAAGCTAACTGCTGATGGTGAAATTTTAAAAATCACAACCTATGTTGTCTCTCCCATTATTTGTCATATTAACAAGATATCTTATTGCCTGTTGAGACTCTGTTGTACTACACAGTTGTTCAAAGTGTTTCTGGCGCAATGTTTTGATCAGTTGTTGTAAATATGGGTCTGGTAAAATGAACAGGATGTATTTTACTTTCCAAGACACTGTCTATACGAATATACAGTACTGTAGAGGAAACAGGTTAGGAAAAAGTGCATAGGTTAATATACGGTTGTTACTCTTATCATTTGCTGTTACATAAATCTAAGGAACTATGATCTTCCTATTTGATTTCTCGGAAACTAGCAGTCAGTATATGGCGTAAGTAAGTATTATGGCTATCCTATGTGGTGCGACTAGATGCCTGTAAAGCTAACAAATGCATGGACTTATTTTTCCCAAGATTATTAAACACCACATCCCTGTTTATCACCGGTTCATCTCTATCTGTCTCTGTATCCATCTTGACATATTTTTCACTTTTATTTTGAGGATACACATTGTGGCTCTTCAAGTGTATCTTGATACAAAATATACCATAGCAAGCGAAACTACAATATTGGAAATGATTAGGAGAGGATAAGTTCACAATAATAATTAATATATTAGCCAGGATAGCATGTATTAATAGATACAGTAATTCGTACGCAACGTAAAACCTGGGACATATTTTATCGTTTCAAGTCCCCACATCAAAGAGTAATTAACCAGTCTAAAGCTAGTAATATTTCACGTTAATTACTTTTCTACTTGAAATACTGATTTCGTGGTCTTATAATTTTTTTATTACTGTATTTCACTAAGAGTTTGGTTTCTTGTCGTTAATCCCCATTTATTTTGTTTACAACTAACAGCCAGATGCAGATCTAGTTGAATTAATATCAGTATTACAGGCTGTGTTTGGTGAGACATCTCCAGTGTTTTCTAAATCTGCTCCCATCACAAAACGGCAAAGTTTAAATCCTCCGTCAAATCCCCAATGCATTGGTTCAATGCCGTATCCAGGTCGGTTATCGTTATTGTTCTTAGTTAATAATACGAGTTCTAGTCACTATAGTAATTTTAAACCACCTATCCTTTTTTATCCTACTTTAATGTGCGATTTACATTGTTTTATTGTAAATTAAAATCACAAGTATATTACTCTGTTTTATGTAAGGTTCCTTATCACAACCTCCTGTTCCTGTCATACCGAATGGTCAAATTTCTAATGTGTATCTACCCCAGCTTGGTACCGGATGGCAGATACCCGGTTCTGTACCCGTACTTCCCAATATACCTATGCCTCAGTTGCCCAATTTTGCCAATCCTTTTACTCAAGCGACAAATTCAAATATATACTCTATGTCAAGTCAAAATATTCCAATGCCAGTATGCCCAGATGCATCTGCTACATCCAACATACCATATAGTATCAGTAAGTATAATTTATATTATTTTTAATATTATGTTTGTAAGTATTCCAACGATTTCAATGTTTTAGTCTGACGATGTATGTGAATTCTCAAGAAAATGATCATAGCAAAAGTAGTATGATATACGTAGACGCCTTAACCAGTCATATTTTGATGTTTTGAGTATAATGATTTATCATATTATTATATATGGATGCTGTTTTTGTTGTTCTTTTTCGAGTATATAAAGACATCAAAAAAATCATCCCAATAGTTGTTTGTGTTAAACATTTATTAGTTATGAAGTAGTTATTATTAAAAATGTATCTAGCTACACTCTTGGCTTCTGACACTTATTCTTATACGTGTAGATTTCTGATAGCCAGTTTTTATACAACTCGAAACATTGTTCAAAATGACTTTATTTTCACCTCAAATCATTCGCATGCCCTATTTCTGTAGATGATGGTGTAATTTTCAAGTTTTTAAGGTTGCTAGAAAATTTCCATGAAAATTTTCCCACAAATTTTTCATTAGTGGTTCGCCTCCAGCTCACATAGTTTTACTATCCTCCTATTTCAATATCATGACATTATGAATTTCAGCCTCTGCCAAGGAAGTCTTACTCACTGCCTTCTCGTGGTGGGGGTGTTGTTTATGAAATTGAGAGGACGAAAGGCGAATGTCCGGTGCTTTAACCGGGAAACCCTGATTCCAAACCAATGGGCACATAAGCTCCAGTATCCTGAAGGAACAGATGGCGTATGAACCAATTGTTGGTCACTAGCTACCACGGGACTACATCTCCCCACGTTGCTCTACTGCCTTGTGGCCAGACCTTTAAGTCAAAGGCTCGGGGTGTGGCTCCCTAAGAAAACACACACAAATAAAATGAAAATGACTATATTTACTGAAAATTCTATTCTCGCGTCTAGTGCTTTCAGGTTTTCCATAGTGGTCTAGCTTCAATTGACTCATGATCTCAACTATTAAAATTACTATAATATCCACACAAAAATCCCCTTCCAATACAATTATACATAAATTCACTCTAGAAAATTCTTCACCATTATATATGGAACTTTATAATTGTATGAAATGTAATAGAACATATTCTAAAACTATGATCAGATTTAAGGCTAATAAGCCTTTTAAACATTACAGTGTACCAATTTAAGATAGTTGATAAAATTAACTAGAGTTTATTAAACTGAATAGTGTATAATGATAATTTGAATCAGTTTATAGGTCATTCGAAATTGTAAAATCAGATGAAAGAGAAATACTATTATAATTACAATTTAAATTACATAGTATAGTCAAATTATTGTATGAATTCATTAAACAATAGTAAAGTAGAATCAGTACTAATTAAATTAACAGTAATAATAATAAAACAATAATCCTCACGATGCTCCACTGCCTTGTGGGTCAGACGTTTAGATCAAAGGCTCGGGGTGTGGCCCCCTAAGAAAACCACCTGCTTCTGTCTGGGTACGCGGGCAGTATCACAGCCCACACACAAAATGAAAATGACTATATTTACTGAGAATTCTATTCTCGCTTCGATTTACTGTCAAACAATTCACATTATTATTATTATCATTATTTACTACGTCATTTATTCACTCTCTTTTATTCCCGCTTTATGTATCCCTAATTTTCAACTTATACAGTAGCTCGCCTATGATGGAAACTCATTTCTATCTAAACGTTCTCGAATCACTGACTGGTTGAAAATTGTATGCTACAGCCAAATACGAATACTCAAGCAGTTTTTCAAACTGGTTGCCCTCAACGTTCACACATTTATGCAGGTCGGACAACAGATAGGGCTGGCTATGTCTTTAGAAAGTCTTAATATCGACGTTTGTTGTCCATTTGAGACCCGTATTCAAGACTGGTGAATTACTACAAATTCACTCTCCATCTGTCACTTCAAAAAGCTTGTTTTACGTGCATTTATCCGAGGACCCTGTGGCATCTTCGTCTGGTCTTGCTGGCGTTGGTGTCGCACTAAGCGCTAGAGCTGAGGCAGCACTAATCGATTGAATCCCCATTAACAGTCGTTTATGTGCTGTTTGATAAGAACGTTCCATCAAAGTGAGAAGAAATCAGCGTGAGAAACGATGTCTTTTCTTCATCTCCGCCTATGCCCCGACAGATTTCAGCCCGGATGCAATCAAAGATGAATTTGACCACTAGTTAACTGTTCTCCAGAAAGTGCGTTCGACAAATATTATAGTACTAGCCGGAGACTTGAATGCTCAGGTCGGGCGTCTAGATACAGAAGACAATCGTTTAGGTTGTCGATGGGGACTTGTTGGTTGCAGTACAGATAACGCAGACCGTCTACTGCAACTGTGCACAGACCACAACCCGTTTTTGGCTAGCACTAACTTTCGGCACAGTCATCGCCGATGTGCCACCTGGCGTCCTCTCTCTGCATCTCAAGCCTGGAATCAGATTGATCACATCGCGATCAGCTACCGCTGGCATGGTTGTATACAAGACTGCTGCTTCTTCTGGAGTACCTATCTGGACTCTGATCGTGCCCTGGTCTGCGCCAATCTTACCTTACTTTTCTGTGGCTAGCGAATTGATCGTCATAAACGGATTGATGTCAGTAAATTGGTTGCAAATTATATTGCAACTAAGTATCAAACCAAGTTAGGTTTTAGGCTAGCTACCATCCTACCGTAGAGTATAGATGAGCATTGGCTGCAACTGCATGGCGACTAAAGCCTCTTGAGGCTTTGCGAAACTTCCCGCTTATAAGCACCGGGTTTCTTCAGGCTCCTTACAACTCATCGAGACCCATCGGTCTACTCCGGTTGACCGTGAGTTTGACCACAAACGAAGGATGTTACGTAATGAAATTGAACAAAGCTTGCGTAAGGACAGAGAAGCCTGGTGGTCAGAGTGTGCTAATGAGCTGGAAGCAGCAGCTGCATCTGGTAACAACCTGAAGCTCTTCCAACCCATCCGAGCCACTGGCAGCAAGATGTCTGGTGTGAGCAAAACAATCTGCGAGGATGACGGGATGCCAATCACTAACATCCATCGACGACGATGGGTAGAATTCTTCGAAGGGCAGTTCAACTGGGCTGCTGCTCCGGCAACATCGGTCGGACTGTCCTGCCCTCCATGGCCGGTGACGACTGATCCACCAAATGAGTCAAGGAACTCCAACTCTTGAAGCGCTACAAATCACTGGGTCCAGATTACTTACCTCCGACCCTTTTTAAATATGGTGGTGACTTTTTGGTTAAGGAACTGTCTGAGTTGTTCACAAAAGTTTGGCAGTTAGAGGGTGTTCCAACATCATGGAATGGGTCGATAATCGTCCTTATCTTTAAAAAAGGTTCACGTCATCTATGCAAGAACTATCGGGGGATAAGTCTACTTCCGATTGCGTCCAAACTATTGGCTTCCGTCATTCTTCGTAGATTGTTCAAAACCCGAGAAAAATTGACTCGTGAGGAGCAGGCTGGTTTTCATTCTGGTCGAGAATGTGTTGATCATATCCTCCGCCAAATGTTAGAACACCGTCATACTTATCACAGGCCAAAAATCGTAGATTTTTGACATTTGGTCTGCCGTCGATTCGTTGGACAGAACTGTTCTCTGGGATTTTCTCTTGAAGAAGTTTATTAACATTCTAAAAGCCCTATATACAAACACCTCAGGTAGAGTAAGGGCATACAACTGTTATGTCCCGATAAGCATAATGAATGGTAACTTTTGGGATCCATTTATGGACCAATACTATGTGTATATTTTATCGTATAATTGTTAAATGACTAAACTATTCATACTCATGTCCCTCTTATTATGAGCTTTATTTTGACCTATGAACTGTTCTACGATTTACCATTATTGAATTATGCCCTGTCTATTAATCACTATCTCCTACATTCACAGCAACATTTGGCCAAATCTTGTACAAATGTTGTTTCCTGTTTCATGGTACGATGTGGTCTGTCTAGTATATATATAAACCGTGTATGTTTCAAATAAATGATTCATATCGCAGAGGCTGAGATTGGTGTTCTGGATCTAATTGGATGGGCTAGGCAGCAAGCAGGACCGATAAGTACTTTAGACTGCTCTTACGGGTTTCGCGCGTCATTGGTCTGATCGATAATTCCCTGCTCTCTAATTGGTGGTATCATTACGTTATCATTAACAGAGCACACGGGTCACAAGTTACAACAATAACCACCTTTCTCCATTGTTCCATTCGAGAAGTGGGGTTAGACAGGGCTGTCCAATTTCACCACTCCTTTTGAACTTTGCCATCGATGACATTCTGGAAACAACTATGATGGATGTAGGCAACGGCGGCGTGAATCTGTTGCCTGGAGAAAGAATTCCCGACCTTGAGCATGCGGATGATATTGTCTTATTGTGTGATAATGCCCAAGCCATGCATCCCACACTTAATCAGTCTGCAATCAGTGTCCGTAGGTACGGTATGTGCTTTGCACCTTCGAATTGCAAAGTACTTCTACAAGACTGGCAGGATTGTAATCCTGTAGTCACCCTGAATGGTGAGCAGATAGAAGTAGTCGAGAAGTTCGTGTATCTAGGTAGCTGCATAAGTGCTGGTGGTGGCTTGAGTAATGAGATCAATCCACGTATAGTGAAAGTCAGAGTGACTTATGCCAATCTGGGCCATCTTTGGCACCTTCGTGATGTTAGTATGGCTGTAAAAGGTCGAATCTCCAACGCGTCGGTGAGAGCAGTTTTGCTCTATGCTTGTGAAACCTGGTTTCTCCGAGTTTAGGATGTTAGACGACTCTGTGTTTGATAATCGTTATCTCCGAATGATTGCTGACATCCAGTGACAACACCTTGTTAGTAATGCAGAGGTTCGGCATCGTGTGTTCTGGCACAGAGATGATAATGCAATTGGTGTCACTATCTTGAAACATCGACTTCGGTGGCTTGGACATGTTCTACGAATGTCGTCTAAGAGAATTCCTCGTTGTGCATTATTTGCCGATGCTAGGACTGGTTG